GTTTCTGTGGATCTCCATCCCCAAAATCTTCTTTGTTGCTTCAAAGTTCTTCATCTCAAACTCATGTTTGAGTTGAGATTTCAACTCGTTGATTTTTGACATATCTTTAGCTGCAATCAACATGTCATCAACGTACAAAAAAAAATACACAAGAACCATCATTGAGCTTTTTATGATAAACTCATATTTACTCCTAGAGTAACCATGCTCAAGCATAAAAGTATCAAATCTCAAATACCAGAGACTGTTTTAACCCATAAAGAGATTTCTTCAACCTGCACACATGATCTTCTTTTCCTTCAACAATGAACCCCTCTGGCTGATGCATAAAGATCTGCTCCTCAAGCTCGTCATGTAAAAAAGTCGTCTTCACATCAAGTTATCCAAGCTCCAAATTAAAATGAGCAACCATAGAAAGCAACACGCGGATTGAGGTGTGTTTTACAACGGGAGAGAATACTTCATTGAAGTCTACACCTTCTATCTAACTGTAGCCTTTAGCTACCAAGCGTGCTTTGTATCTTACAAAATCTGTATCCGAAGCTCCTTTTTTCTTCTTGAAGACCCATTTACAGCCAACAATCTTGTGTCCCCTTGGTGGCTTCACTAACTCCTATGTCTGGTTCTTGTGAAGAGACTTCATCTCTTTAGTCATCGCAACAGTCCAATTTGTAGCATCATTGTCACTAATAGCCTCCTTATAGGTAGAAGGCTCTGGAATCTAAATCGATTCTGCTATACTCAAAGCGTAAGCAAACATGTCTGCATAGCGTTGAGGAGGTCAGATCTGCCTTTTTGTTTTCCCGATGGCAATATTATGTTGTTGATCTTATGATGTATCAGCATCTGAAGTTGAACCTTCCGCAGTATCAACTGGTTCAACATGAGCGTCTTCAAGCACTTTCTTTGAAGCTGATCTCTCTAGCGCCACCTGCTTGTTAGACTCCTTTTCAGTACATGTAGTGTCAATAAAAAACTCTTTTTTTGGGTGAAGCGTAGATTTTTCATGTAACATCCCTACTAATAATAAACTTAGGTGATTTGGGATCAGAACACCACAATCTATATCCCTTCACCCCAGTAGCATATCCTAGAAAGATAGCTTTCTTTGGTCTAGGTTCAAACTTACCATCATTAACATGAACATAAGCAGAACAACCAAATACTCTTAAATGAGAGTAATTAGCAGAGGCACCAGACCATACCTCTTATAGAGTCTTAAAATCAATTGCTATAGAAGGAGATATGTTTATCAAATAGCAAGTTGTATTGACTGCCTCGGTCCAAAAGTCTTTTGACAAACCGGCATTATAGAGCATGCACCGAGCTCTCTCTAAAAGTGTTTTGTTTATCTTTTCTGCAACTCTATTTTGTTGTGGTCTATGACGAAATGTACGATGGCGTACAATATCTTCAATCTTGCAAAACTGGTCAAACTCTGTAGAACAAAACTCCATCCCATTGTCGGTTCTGAGACGCTTCACTTTCTTTCATGTTTGCTTCTCAATCATAACTTTCAATTGCTTGAAGGTTACAAACACATCACTCTTATGCATCAAAGGATACACCCAAACTTTTCTGGAATAATTATCAATCAATGTTAGAAGAAAACGAGCTCCACCTTTCGATGAAACCTGAGAGGGACCCCAAACATCTAAATGGATATAATCTAAAGTACCCTTGGTTCTGTGGACACCGGTACTAAAGAATACTCTATGGTGTTTGCCGAAAACACAATGCTCACAAAAGTCTAGCTTACAAATTTTCTGACCACAAAACAGACCTTATTTGCTAAATACATCCAGTCCTCTCTCACTCATATACCCTAACCGCATATGCCACAAACGTGTAGTGTCCGAATCTGAATCCTCTGAGGATGACACTGCTACTGCACCTGTCATTGTACTCCCTTCAAGGATATAGAGGGTATTTACCTTCTTTCCTTTCATCATGATCTTTCCTTTCATCATAACAAGAGAGCCTTTATAAACTCTCAAAACTCCTCCTTCAACCGAAAACTTAAAACCATTTGAGTCAAGGGTGCCTAAAGAAATGAAGTTTTTTTTAACTCTGGAATACGATGGACATTGCTCAATGTTCTAACAATACCATCATGAGTTCTAATCTTAATTGATCCGATGCCAACAGTCTTGCAATGCATGTTATTTCCCAACAAGACATTCCCACCATCGATAAACTGATATGTGACTAACCAATCCCTATACGGACACATATGATAGGAACAACCCGAATCAAGAACCTACTCATCTTGTGAATGAGTATTAACACTAACTGAAAGAACTTCATATGAACAAGAAGACTCTTCAGTTACAGTGGCAACTCAAGATTTTACATCCCCAGACTTCGACTGTGAATTATCCTTTGCTTTGAGCTCTGGACAATTAGGTTGTATGTCCATATTTATGACAGTAATAACATTCAACATTTTTTCTTGGCCTCGACTTTATCTAGACATATTTCTAGACTTGCCTCTACCACCAACACTCTTTTCAGGACGATCACGAGCGAACAAACATTTAGCTTGATCCTCTCCTCCTACGACAAACACTTTCTGCCTTAACTCTTTTGAATGTAAGGCTAATTTGACATCCTCCAAATAAAGTGTATCTCTACCGTATAACATGCTATTGACAAAATTTTCATAGGAAGGAGGTAATGAACATAACAAGATGAGTGCTTGATCTTCTTCGTTGATTTTAACATCAATATTCTTTAAATCCATAAGAATAGTGTTAAGTTCATCTAAGTGGTCTTTAATTTGCATACCTTCTTTCATGCGAAGGGTGAAGAGACGTTGCTTCAAGTATAGCTTGTTCGTTAGAGATTTCGTCATGTACAAGCTCTCTAACATGAGCCACAAGCCAACGGCGGTATGTTCTTTTGCAACCTCCCACAGGACCTCACCGGCTAAACAGAGCTGTATGGCACTATACGTCTTCATCTCCAGCTCTTCTTTCTCATCATCGGGCATAAATTTTGACAACTTATTCTTTCCGGATAATACTTTGAACAATCTTTGTTGTACTAGGAAAGCCCTCATTTTTACTCTTCACAAATTAAAGTTGTTTCTCCCATCGAATTTCTTCACTTTGTATTTTGCAGAAGACATCTTGAAACCCACTAGAACAATAACTGTAATTATGAACAGTAACCGTACTTTTAAACAGTAATCGTACGTATGAATAATAACGTTACTTTTGAATAGTAATATTACACGTGAATAGTACACAGTGTCTTTAAAGAGTAAATGATAATCTAGCTTATTTCCTGATGTGGATGATCCACTTTTAGTGGCAGCCACAGAGCATACGATAAGCAGATACACGTACTCTAAGAGATTGATCCTCTCCTCCTATGATAGACACTTTCTATCTTAACTCTTTTGAATGTAAGGCTGATTTGACATCCTCCAAAGAAAGTGTATCTCTACCGTATAACATGCTATTGACAAAATTTTCATAGGAAGGAGGTAATGAACATAACAAGATGAGTGCTTGATCTTCTTCGTTGATTTTAACATCAATATTCTTTAAATCCATAAGAATAGTGTTAAGTTCATCTAAGTGGTCTTTAATTTGCATACCTTCTTTCATGCGAAGGGTGAAGAGACGTTGCTTCAAGTATAGCTTGTTCGTTAGAGATTTCGTCATGTACAAGCTCTCTAACATGAGCCACAAGCCAACGGCGGTATGTTCTTTTGCAACCTCCCACAGGACCTCACCGGCTAAACAGAGCTGTATGGCACTATACGTCTTCATCTCCAGCTCTTCTTTCTCATCATCGGGCATAAATTTTGACAACTTATTCTTTCCGGATAATACTTTGAACAATCTTTGTTGTACTAGGAAAGCCCTCATTTTTACTCTTCACAAATTAAAGTTGTTTCTCCCATCGAATTTCTTCACTTTGTATTTTGCAGAAGACATCTTGAAACCCACTAGAACAATAACTGTAATTATGAACAGTAACCGTACTTTTAAACAGTAATCGTACGTATGAATAATAACGTTACTTTTGAATAGTAATATTACACGTGAATAGTACACAGTGTCTTTAAAGAGTAAATGATAATCTAGCTTATTTCCTGATGTGGATGATCCACTTTTAGTGGCAGCCACAGAGCATACGATAAGCAGATACACGTACTCTAAGTTAGGCTCTGATACCAGTTTGTTGCAACGGGGGGCTTCACGGACACAGAAGATATTTATACAAGAGTGAAGAATAACAACACTGACTAAACACAGTGAACACAAAGAGAACAACACACAAGAATTTAACGTGGTTCGGTCAGTATGACCTACGTCCACGGACGAGAACAACAGAGAACTTTACTAATCACAAAAGAGAAGATTACAAAGAGGAGATCACTCTCTAACCAAAGAATCACACAAAGAATATTTCTCTTTCTATCTCACTCTTTTCTCTCTATCTCTCGCTTCTTGCTTTTCTCTCTAATTCTTCTCTGAGTCTGCTTGCTCTAAACTCTCATCCTCGCCCTCTTTTTATAGCTTCTTACTATTAATAAAAAAATTAAAGCTCTAAACTCTCATCCTCGCCCTCTTTTTATAGCTTCTTACTATTAATAAAAAAATTAAAAGGGGTAGGTGAAGAGTTGCAAAGCTTAACAAATTGTCACAAAAAATTAGGCAGCCGTATTCAACATCATTCAAGTCACTTTCACACTATAAAGTTGACTTGGATGTAAAAGCTAATATCATAGGATAAAACAATTATATGTACTCCAATATAAACATATATATAAATTATTATATTGAAAATTACTCATTAGATCCAAAAAGATGTTGATCATCGGAGTAGATTTTGAGAAGAAGAGGTGAAGTGTCACTATTAAAACTACGGAAGTTTCCGTCAACCCTGCAAACCTTAGGGGGATTCCTACATTTTACCCATAAAAATTATGCTCACAGTGTCGAGTACATAATCTGATCTCTTTATACGGGAACCAGGTTACTAACCTGCACAGTTGCTTTTAATCCAAAGGCTTTTACCACAGCGGTGACATTCGGATTGCCAGCCCACTTGAGAGATGGTTCCATAATTAACTCCTTTTCTTCTGTCATGTAGACTTTCATTCCTGGAATAAGAATTATATCTTAGATGGTACAACAGCTTTTAGCAGTTGTGGAATATATAAAGAAGATGAACAATTAGGAGGAGGAGATAAAGAATAATAGGGACAAAACAAAAGCTTCCTAGAATAGACATAGTAAGCAATGACTAATTTTCATCCTGTATCTAAATTTAGAGAAGTTGAAACTGTAATCTCAATTTCTGAATCATAAGTGGAAGAGCAATGAAAAGTTACATTACGCAAAAAGAGTTGGACATTGTCAAAGGACGCTTCCACTGTACTAAAACTCCAAAGTTACAATGAGGGTTGAGGGATATATATTTTATACTCTAACAAGTGCCCAACAGTGAGGGCCCTTTCATGGGCCAAAACCTAGGCTCATGAGGTGGTATCTATCTTTTAATATGTGCCTTACAAATGCAGAATAAAACTTTATGATTGCCCATACAAATTGCAATAACACATTAATTTTGTGAGCTAAAACTTTCACATGCATACAAGTAGAGAACAAATTGATTTGCACTGGCCATCCGAACTCCCATCCTTATCTTGTTGACCTAAAATGTCTGTGATGCCAGAGGTAACTATGTTTTTAGAATCTACGACATAAACCAGGATTTTATACTTAAAAAAAACTGCTCAAAATTCTAGTAACATCAATTATCAAAGAGAAACTCCTTACACAGTAAGTTTCATAAACTGCAGATAAGCACATATAAAACAGTCAAGTATTAAAGCTAAACACGTGAAGAAAGCCGGTATTGAGTCAATAAGTCATCACTGCACTTTTTTTATCATGGGTTGCCATTTTTGGCTATGTATTAGATAATGCACCATGAATAAGAATGCATGAACTGAATAGTCTTTCAAGGAATTAGCATGAAGTAACATCAATTCATAATTGGATAAAAATTGGAATGCGGTATATTCCAACAATTGAGTCTACATCAGTTAAGACTTACTTTTAAATAGTCTGGTTCTAACCTAAACACTCTTGATTAAAAAAACAGGGTTATACCTATTTATTATGTAAAATACAATCGACAAATATGTTCCAGCATTTGTGCAATGCAGTTTGTATGACCATGGATTTTTTTAATAGTCAAATTGAACTTAATAGTAGGATGTGATAAACAAGAGTTATGGCAGTAAAACCTTGAAATGTTGGAGGCAGCGAGCCTAAGGTAAATGTTTCGAATTCAACAGAGTTGATTTTAAACTTCACGAGATTCTCAGCAATAATTGGCTTTGCAATTTCCTTTGCTGTTTTGCAGATTGCCTACGGAAAAAAAAAGAACAAATAACTTAGAACTAATTAGAAGGAAGCAGCCTCCATATATTTTAGATACTAATATGACACATGACATATGTAATTATGTGCTAACCTTATCCAAATAAGGCCACATGCTTTCCAAAAACCTGTTTAGCCAATCGATCTAAAAGAAAATGTGAGAAAGAATAAGAAGCAAACAAGTAAAAGCTGCAAATCTCAGTGCCAAAGAGTAACATTCCTAAAGTAACATCAAAGAATATAGATTGAAAATAAGTAGAAAATTCAGGACGTACTCGATCATAGTCTGGATTTTTCACCCATAAAGGAATTTCAGGAAGCATGTTCTCCAGAGAGCTTGAATCACATTCAATAAGAGGCCGTATGGTAGGATCCTGTTCAAGTGAAGAATATGATATATAATTCTTTCTTGATTTATGGATACATATCAGAAGGAAAAGTTTTCAGCTCATTCTTGCAAATGACCAATTGATAGCTAGCAAGTTACAATCTGAAATAATATATGCAGGACTATTGAAACACAAACAGGCTAAAAGCGCCTGCTTCTTTACTTTATATACAACTGAAGACATCATAGACAGATTAATTAGAAGTTATACCTTGATCCGCTTTATATGGACTTGTAATTCTGGTTAACTTTCATTGGGATAGCTATTCAGTTGCAACTTGGGACATTAGTTTTTATTGTTAAGTCTTTTTGATAAATTGATTATGAGCTTTTGGATGGAAAGGGTCAATTCATTGATGAATGTATTATTTTTATTGTGCTTTTTAATTGGCTATTATCCTCTTCTTAAATATTTTCCCCTTCTATACAACATCAAAATTGCTTGATCACTCAGTTGTATTTGTCCATTTCTCAATTTTTTTCTTCTCTCGCTGCTACAATGCAAAATGCGCAATGAGGGGCGCAAAGTTCCTGCACGTGAACATGCGCAAGGCTCAATGCGATATGCATGCCCAAGTGAAGCGAGGCGCATAATACACACATAATTCTTCAAGTAGACAATCAATCATGAAAGAACACATTTAAGATTTTTCAAATAAAAAATGTCAAGATGAATAATGTATAATACCAAATCACAAAATAAAATCTTAACTCATAAATGCTAATACACCCAACATGATAGTAAAGATCATAATTTTCCAAATCAAAATCAAATAGTACACAAGAACAAATTAGGGTCCTCAATTGGGCTAGTAAAATGGTCTAATGGATTTATTTTTCTTTTTGGGATATAAATTATCAGGATTAAAGACCAGATTGAAATGTTAAAGAAAAAATAAACAACAATATGACTTCATGCGCCACGGCAAAGCCCACTCTGTGTAGGCTCCTTGAACCGAAGCACAATAGAAAGGACCCAACTCAAAGATACCAGACTTCCACCCAACCGAACCAGACACTGCGAATTAGTCATAAGACAGAAACTGTCTTATTCCCTATTTAATCAATTTACGTTATAACATCCATTTTCTTCCTGCTCTTGCGAGCACACGAGAAGGCACTGCAGCATAAAGATGCAGGGCCTTCACCAGCGCCGCTCAACTGGGCGGATGAGGTGCAGTAAGGCATGCAATCTGTCTTCTCTATTTCCATTCCCGCCTTTCGTATAATCTTCATTTCTTCCTCTTAACGCTATATTTTACTTCTTTTCTGCTCCTCGCTTCAAAAAAAAACACCCAATAATAATCACTGTGATTGGCAAAATTTTCATAGTAATGTATCAACATTGTTAAAAAGAAATATGAGCACGAAGATAGGAATAATAGAATAGAAGCTCGTAATAGGCTACCATCAACCTTTCGTCCCAGAACTAAACTGAAGCTCCAAAGCTCCGAAGATAAGTGAATACATCGTGAATTTATATCCCCTAACCACTGATTTTTTCCATGAGGATGCAAAATGTCACAATAAATCAATCTACATTCCGAATTATATACAAGGTCAATTAACCCGCGAGAAGTGCTTACTGATAAAGACCCAAGCCATAGCGAATTGGGTCCTAATTAAGACTGAAAGTAAGCGCGATATTTATTATAAGTTATGTGATAAAGGATTGATATAACATACTCGAGTTAAATCTAACAATGCGATGACGTAATCGCTTTACTATAAATAAAGGATTTTCACAAGGTTGTATCATGAAGTAACACACAACTAAAACAACTTATTCAGTGAAACTACTGCGGCCTCAATCCGTCTATCGGCACCTCAAACACATAAAGCATATAGGACGAACTAATAAATGTTCACACTACAAATTTATTGTTGGGAATATTAACGCCGCAATCCCCCCTAATGCAACGGAAACGGCGGTATAGAAGAACAGTACACCAAGAATTTACGAGGTTCGGCAACTGGCTAGTCCTCGGGAGCCACACAGATAATTGTCTTATTATCTAACAAGAAAATTACAGGTCAAGAGCAAATCCTAAACTGGGAGTTCCTCAAAAACCTAGTAGGCTCAGTGTTAATCCCCCAACTAAATCAAAATAAGACCTCTTCTTTTTTCTCTCTCTTCCTTCGGTTAAATCCCCCCTTCAATCACTGTTGAAATGAATTGGGGTTAATTAGAAAATCGCTGGCTGCGATTTTGAGAGAAGAAACGCTGGGCTTCGGTTAGGGCTCCGCCGCCAAGAAACGGGGGAAGTAAAAAAAGCAAGCACAGAGACTAGGGCATACAGGGGGTCTATTTATAGCGACGGAAATTGGACAGGCTGGCGACAGTGTCGCAGCGCCTCGCTCAGGAGGCGGAGGTGGGAACTTCAGACGCGGAAGGTGGGAGGCAGTGAGCGCGTGGTGTCGTCGCTGAGCGAAGGTCCGGAGAGCTCTGGACGCGGGATCGGAGCCTGAGGGTCGCGTTCAGCTGACCAAACCACAGTCAGAGTTCGCGAAGCTCGAGCTCGCATGGGGGTTGCGCCGATTCGCAGCTCGCCTGCGTCTTCCTGGAGACTCCGTCCGAGCTTCGCCGGAGCTCCTCATCGTGTCGGAGGTTGGTATCCACCCTTCGAAACCTAACAATCTCCCACTTGGAGCCCAAACGACGGCAAGGATATCCATCAGGCTCCACTCCCTGTTGGTCCGCCTATCATCTATGCTGAAGGCCAACTGAAGTTGCGCACGAACCCGTTTCTGAACGGTGCAGCGTCTTTGTTAAGCATGTCTGGGCTGGATTCTTATTGCCTGGAATTTTCCAGTTTCAACACGTCATCCTTCCCACAGGGATCTGATGACGTGGTACCGAAGCCAATAGGTTCGTTCTAGAATGAAATGCTGAATTCTTGGCGCAAGTTATAGGCAATCTGGCTATACATCGTGGCAAATTCTTCTCACTGTTTGAATCGCCAGCTCGTCAACAAACCCTGAAGCCATATCATCTCTTTACTATCTGGCTTCATCGACTGCAACGTACTCAGCTTCCTGTAGTGGATTGGATACATCTTTGTACTGTGAATCAACTAACAGCTGTAAGTTCAACGGTGAAATACATAGGGTGGTACTTTTCGGTGACAACTTCGCCGCCGAAGTCTTGCATCTACGTACCTCGCACTTCTACTCTCGGCGCTACCAAAGTGCAAACACTTCTGTGTGGTCCCTCAATAGATAATTTCAGAATCGCACTTGACGCTTCCAATGAGCTTTTCCTGTTTATTGACATAAACCGGCTGCGCACGTCCACTGCATGGCCAATGGTCTGGTATCCGTACAGACCTTGCGTATCACACTCCGATATAGCTGAGGCTTAAGGTACTGAGGCCATGCTCTCTTTTCTTCTTCTTCTGACTGAGGAGACTGATCGCTTCGATAGACGAAATGGCTAGGCAAGGGTGTGCTCACAGGCTTGGCGTCGCCCATTGGTTGAACCTCTGCAAAACCCGGTTGAACTGTACTCGTCTGAACAACCGCAGACCCTTTCTTCTTGTCTCTCGTGATTGCATTCCAAGGATCTTCTTTGCTGGAGCCAAATCCTCATGTCAAACTCTTGAATGCTGCTTCAAACTCTTGAATATCCTCCATAATCGCTCCTGTGCAATCAACATTCATCAACATCGCAGTAGGATGAATATAGCTGGACTGATAATTTTTTTGAAGATAGCACAGTGGTCGCATTGCACTTCTGGAAACGTTCCATTGTGCATGAAAGCGTCAAACTTTCTGTACCACTGCTTGGGGCTTGTTTCAGGCCATACAGCTCTTCTTGAGTCTGGCACATATCGTTACGGTACGTCTGCGGTCGTAAGAAGGCGCTCAGGTCTTCTTCTTTTTCTTCTGAGAAACAGTTCTGGCTGGTGCATGTATTCTCCTCTCTAGATCTCGTGGAACCCGTCTTCACGTCTAACTGCTCGAGAATTGAAGATGTTAATTGGTACAATATCATCAGCAGTCCTGATAGTATTTAGGCTTCACCAACGGGAGCGAAATATCGGTGTATCGATTCTTGCGCTTCTGCTGGAAACGGCTTTGACCTAGCCGGGCTTTATAATCTTTCTGGAACACTCCTGCTCCTCTTTCACATGTCGTCCCCATTTGTTATGGAGTGCCTTCTTACCGTGGGTACTCGCTAGTTCCACGTTGTTTGATATGAAGACTTCTATCATCTTTCATTGCAAGGCTTCCGCATTGGCTGGCATCTACCTGACAAGCTTCCTCAAAGCTTCAGGCTCCCCACCATTTGTCACCACGATGTTCATGTATGCTCCTGTATGGGTAGCAGGAGGACGAGAAGATCTTCTTAATATCGGAGTGTAGCGTGGGCTCCTGCGCACGCATCTTGTCAAACAGGCTGCTTCTGGTGCGGACTCTGGCATTGGGTTTTCCGAGAGGTTACTCGGGACATCATTCTGCATTATAAATTTGGACTCACATTGATTCGTCAGTCTTGTTGCATGTCCTTGTACATAATTCTCGTTGAAATATCACATTCTGCTCTCTGATCCCTTTCTTGAGTTTTCGTTGTCCAAATGCGGTAGCCGAACTGCATTTACCATAAGCGATGAAAGTGATTTCTTGATGGGGTCAAGCTTATTGCCTGCCATGATACTATATGCACGTAGCTACACAACGAAAACTTTTAGATGTGAGAGTTTTACTCCTTTCCGGCACGCATACCTCCTCTGGTATTCTGTGCTCCAATGGAACCGAGGCTCGTTGATCAAGTAGCTTGGGTGTGTTGCGCGTTCTGCCAGAACTCTTCGGTAGCCTGATGTACGAATGCTTCTGGCTAACTCTCCTGTCACCGTTCGGTTATTCCGCTCAGCTACACATTTTGGGCTGAGGCGTGCCGGGCACGGTTTCATCCTTTGATCTGCGTGCTCATAGCAGAACTTGTGAATCGCGGTGTCTTCATATTCACAGCCAGTTGTCGGTCGCTGAGCTTCTTATTCTCAGACCGGTCTCATTCTGGACCATAGCTTTTCATTCTCTGAAAGCTTCAAATACTTTGACTTATTGCTTCGAAGTAACGAGCCCATTTGGAGTGTCTCGATGAAAGTCACGAAGTAGTGTGTCCCACAATCGACGCAGTGGGTGTTGGTCCCCGAAAAAAAACATCTGAGTGGCGAGCTTAGCTTCTGCTTCCCTGGGGGTTTTCTGCCATTGCTGGGAAGCTGACTTCTCTTCTGCTTTCCGAAGTATACATTCTTGTACCTATCCATCTCCACTGCGGTGCAGTCTGGGAAGTTTTCCCTGTGTGTGCATCAATTCATCCGCTTTTACTCATACTGACGAGTCTCTGGTGCACAGGATTTGAAGTTCATTGTTGCTGCACTGAGATCGAACAACGGGCACCTGCTGTCATATATAGGGTACGGTCTTCCTGCCTCGGGCAATTGTCATTGGCCCGTTTGAGATTTCCTAATCTCCTCCATGGAAGGTGGTGTATATCTTCGCCAGCACAACTGCCCCGGATTTAATTCTTTCTCAGGTCGGGAATATGCCTGACATCCTTCAGCTCCATAACTGACCGTTAACTTAATTTCACACGCCTTTACACCACAAATACAAGTGTTGATATCACCAAGATATACGTATCCAAGATTTCCGGGGGTATACTTCTCGGAGATTCTTTCTGAGAGTAGCATGAACGATGCTTGAATCTAACAACAAGATTCTCCTTGCTCTGCCCAAAGAGCTATCGAATGGAATTCGTTCGTCACTGAAGTGGAAGTGACTATTACACCTTGCCTTCGGCATCCTTCTCTGCTCTGTGGCTCTGCAGGTGATTATGTAATGCCAGTCTTTCCATCAATTCACACGTCGATAGGACTTCTGAGCTGTTGCTTGGAATTCCTTGATTTGACTCCTGTCCTTTGATCTACTCTGTAAGTTTTGATTTTATCGTCCGTTCCTCTGGTTGAATTTCTACCTCTTGATTCTGTATTGCATACTGAGAAGGTTGTAGCTTCCAGTCTCTGGTCGAATCTTCTCACTTGAGACACAAATCAAGAAAGTCGCCGAGTTCAAACTTTTTTCTTTCCCGGATGAGCTACTCACTGTCGTGACTGTAGCGTCCAACTCTCTGGTAGTGAGCAAAAGTATCAACGCCGGTTCGATCATCAAACTCAATCTCAACAGAACTCATTGGGTTGTAACCGTATAAGTTCGTTTGAGGTGTTGTGCTCTGACTGCGCGCTTCCGCCATTCTTCAGATGAATAACCGCGATCAAATGAACTTTGTTCGTGGCTGATGTCTCATACATGTTTGCGAGTGCTGCATATAATGCTGTGGTACTTCTCCTTCGGATATGTTGAACCAACTTGCGAGTCAACGTCAATCTGATAACTCCGAGGGCTTGTCTATTCTAGAAGGTTCCATCTCTTCTCATTAGATTGCTTCTTCGCGATAGTGGTTGATACAGATTTTTCTGATACAGATAATTCTATCTGCATTTTCGCGAATCCGAAATTGTCCCATCATTCTCTTATTTCTCACCTTTCCTCATCTACGTGCCATGGCTCCACTTAAATCTGACATTCTATAGATGTTTTCCCGCTCTGATACGACGTTGTTTGGGATTTAAAACGCTAAATTCCTAATGCACGGAACGCGGTAATAGAGCACAGTAACAAAGATTTACGAGGTTCGGCATGCCTACAGTCTCGGGAGCCACACAGATAATATTTCTTATTTATCTAACAAGATAATTACAGGTCAGGAGGCAAATACTAAACTGGGTTTCCTAAAAAACACTGTAGCTACAGTGTTATCCAGCCACAATAAATAAACGCGCTCTTTCTTTCTCTCTGCTCTCGCTTTAAGTGCCCCCTTCAATCACTGTGAAAACTGGGGTTAATTAGAAAATCGTTGTGGCGATTTTGAGAGAAGAAACGCTGCTGGCATTTGGGCTCGCCGCAAGAAAACAGGGGAAAGAAGCACAGAGATAGGGCATCAGGGGCTTCTATTATAGCCGGAAAATTGGCCAGGTGGGCGACAGCCTGTCGCGCCAGCGCGCTGGCTTCGGAGTGCGGGGTGGGAAGTTCAGAGCGAGGTGGGAGGCCAGTGAAGCGATGGTGGTCGTCGCGACGCAAGGTCGGGAGCTTGACGGGGGGTGCGGACCTGAGGGTGCGTTTCGCCTCAACACTGAGTTCGCCAAGCTCGGAGCTCGCCTGGGGGGGTTTTTCGCGCGCCGACTCGCACACGCTCCGCCTGCGTCTTCTGGAGCTCGTCGGAGCTTCGCCGGAGCTCCTCTCGTCGTCGGAGGTTGAGTATCACTCACTCTAACAATTCTTAGCATCAAATAATCAGCAGTATACACCGAAACAGCCAGCAATAAAGCAGTAACAAGAGTTATTTACTTAAATCAATGAGCAACATTTACTTATTGCAATTCTTAAAAACGTACCTTAACATCAGAGGGTTGGAAGTAGATGAAGAGATAATACCCAATAACAAGTCCAGCAGTTAACCCAAATCCAAATCCGAAGAAACCCAATAAAGAACTCACAAAACCCATCTCTAAAAATTTATCAATATCAACTTAAAATCTTCATTTAGACCCTCTCAACAAAAAACTCATTCTGCACCCTCAGAGTAGGTCACTGTCGTCGTTTCATGCAGTTGGGTCCCCAAGTCTCCTGCGAAAGAGAAACCCAAAAGTCTATTCATCAGCCGAAAAGGCCCACAAAAGAGGGCGGGGGGAAAAGGGAAGAGAGAGAGAGAGAGAGAGATTGCTTTTGCCTTTGATGTCGGTCGAGTGCCCCCTCTGTCGTTTTTTTTTCTTCTTCTCAGGTTTATATACGAATTCAATGCGGTGACGCTTGGCTTCGTTGATGGGGGAGTTCGCCGCTCTAAACTTTGCACATCGGGCTCTCCGCGCATCGACCTCTCCCATTTGAAAAGGATAATAATAATAAAATTGAACGTACGTGGCGTTCTGAGTGTTTATCCCTTTTACGTTTTGAATCAGGACCAATTTTTTAAAACTTTTTATTTTCCTTAATTTAATTAAATATTATAAAATCTGATTTTTTGTTTAAAGGCTTTGCAAGATGTTAGTGACAAAATATAGCTATTTCAAAATAGATCCTCGCAAAATATTTTTTCAGTTAGCCCAAATAGACCAATGTTTGCCTTTTGTTAATGCATTAATTAAGTGGATTATTTACTAAAGCTAAACCAATCAGAGTTATTTCACACTCCTTTCTCTTTCTCTCTCGCCCTTCAAATGCTGCTAATGTTCAATAATACACGAAGTCAGGGATGGTCCATGATAATGTTGTAAACTAAAATATCATATTTAAGTTAAAGGATTAATATTTGTTATGTTGTCAGAGGAGAAGTTTACTATAATATTGATATCCGCTAGATCTATACATGTCTATGTTTCTAGATTCAAAACAATATCTAGAAAGTAGAAAGTCAAAAACTATTTTTTTATACTAGTCTCTTAAATCTTTCATATTTTAAAATTAGTCTCTTGAATCCTTAAAACTGAAAACTGCTATTAGCATCCCTAATTCTTATAAGTCACATCAAAGTTAGTCTCTCGAATCATCAAAAAGGAACCCCCGGCCAACTCATACCCCACCAACAATCAAAGAGCACCAGCAGTAAGATAAAAAGAACGAAGGACCTAAAAGCAATTGGTTTGAGGGAAATAATTCAGAATATTACGGAAGCAATTGGTCATTATTGAAAAAAAAAACCCAAGGAAATCCTTTTTATATGTAGAAACCGCATGCGGAGGAGCGACTGGACCGGCCCGAGCCAGGGCGCCTGGGGGACCGTACGTACCAGACGCGTGCCTTGCATGCACTGCACCGCCCCGCGCACGCTGCTTTTCACGGTCAAAACTTCCTCGCTTCTCGCTACTCGCTATTGGGTCATGAACCCGAACGATGACGACCACCGGCCCTCAAATTCTTCGTCTTCACTCTCAGCCTCCGATCGATATAATTCTTGTCTCGTAGTAGCACACTATTTGTTACGATCGAGACGCTCTGCAGCCTAAGACAGAACACTCCGCACTTGAGCCATTAATATAAAGGCCCGCTCGGGTAGAATTTTGGGTATATACTACTACTAGCTATTTGAATAACAAAGCTTCTCTTGGAATTTGCTTTATATATGAGCTGCTTCTGCAGGGATTATGAGTTGCTCGTGTGGGAATCTAAGTGCCTTAGCGTATGCAATCAAGCGATCATGTGAATTTGGGGCACACATTTGGCCATTTGAGTTTATCTTAATTTGCTGGCATGGGTCTATAATCTATATATTCTACGTGTTCTCTTAATTTTGTGGTCATACTATTTAATTGCGAGCACACAATAAAACTATTACCATTATAAACATCTCTCCAGATTTATATTTTTATTCTAATTAGGCATGAAGAGCTCCAGTTGCGGCTTTCTTTCACCGAATCTATCTTTTTTTCAAGCGTCCTTTCGTGTCAATAATTTCTACGCATGCGCTGTTGTAGAGAACTGCAGATGGCTTTTCTTAGTTATATTCTAATATTGTTACTATCTTCCGTTTGAAGCTTAATTTCCTGAAACTCTACGAGGCTAGCTCCTGCAAGTAACCTTGTCTGCGTACGTGCATTCGATTATATTCTTTTCAATACAAAGGCGAGCTGGAACATTAAAGAAGCGAGGTCGTAAGTTCATTAGCAATGTGTTGATGATTTGTTGATTAGGAAATGATTCACTATTTAGAGCACTTGTAACCAAATTCTAACATTTCCTGGTCGCTTTAGAAATGTATATATATTTTTAAATATTGGGAATCCCAGATTTCTGAGTTCTGTATCGCATTCCAACTGAGCATGCTTATTAATTGGTGAGCTCGTGGAATTGTCATCGTCTTATATATATAATTCATACCACTGTAGAAAATAACGCGTTCAGAACGCGCATAGCAACATAGCGCCACCCTGTCACTATGTACTGTTGGAAAATAGCGCAGAAACAAAATAGCGTATGCTATTTTACTCATAGCGTACACTTTGTGACACGTCTTCAGAGCGCTCCATAACTTAGGTTAAATTATTCAAGAGCTGCGATTGATTTTTAAAAGAATACTGATGATGGTCGTGATTGAGTTTTTTTTTTTAATTAATCAGATTTTGCACCGAAAAACATTAAAAAGAGATCAAAGAATTACTTATTAGTTTTTTTTCTAGTTAATCTGATTTAGAAGTAATAAAAACTGGTACTTTTCTTTCAAAAATAAAAGTTGTAACTTCCCTTGGATTATTATGAGATAATTTTACATTTATGATGTTCTATTACCTATTAGAACTTACTGTGATAGCGTGTGATGAATATTTTTTAACTACTACAATTTTGGAATGATTGTTAAGGTATACGTTGTTGATTTTGATGCGAAATTGTGATGATATATTGATTTGTGATAGTATTTTTATGATGGTATGTTTGAAAACTGTGATGATAATTCATATTATTTGATTTTGAGTATTATGTATCTATAAAATATTTAAATATACACTAGTAGAAAATAGGGTATTAGCGACGGGGTATTGGTGATACGAGTCGCCGTGCGAGCACCATTGATCACGGAATTATCAAGAGTGGGTACGAAGAAAACGACAGAAGAACACCAGATTATAATTTGGTCGAAGGAAAATACCTTCTCTAGATTATGAGAATCAATTGGATTACAAATCTCTCTCTCGCAATCTCTCTAGATCAAAGAACAACCTCTCTGATCTCTTTTCTGATTACAATCTGAGTAATCTACTTAGAAAAGTCGTGTTTCTATTTATATCAAATAGAAATCCTAAACAGTACAGGAAAACAAGCTCAGGCTCAAACCCGTCTTGCGGTCGACCGCAGAGCGCATCACGATCGACCGCGATCAACACCCGAGACTGAAAATCCATTACAGAGTTTTGGCAGTCGATCGCCGAACCCATCGCGGTCGACCGTGACCAACGACAGAGAGTAGTTTCGCCTACAGGGTTTTGGCGGGCGACCCCCGTTTTGGCGGTCGCCCGCCGAACCCATCGCGGTCGACCGTGAAACAGTTCAACCAGATCCCCTGAGCTGTGCACGTTCGCGGTCGACCGCAGAGCCATGCGCGTTCGACCGGCCAACAGTAAAAATGCTTTTCCTATCTTTTGACGGATCCTTTGACTTCGCCGCCTTCAATGACTTTGTCCACGACTCCTCTACACTATTCTCAAGATACCATGAGAATCACTATCCTCAAGTTTTTATGAGGATCGCTAAGCTCTCGAAGAGAAGATACACACGTATCATGGGTCTCCTCTTTTAGGAACTTGAAGTCTCGTTCAAGTTAGAACTGGAACTGAGGGAACTCGTGAGCCCCTCCTTCTTTTCTGAACCATCTGGTCTTGCTAGGAATCTGATCTCGACGTCCGATCGAAAATAAATCATTCATCCCGCGTCTCGTCGTAGTCGCCTTTCGTTCCAAGTTGCAATCCTTTATCGATGGCTTTTCTGAAAGTCTAATACACAGCGAGACAAACTTCTTGCTTACATTCACTAGCCTCTTCATTCGCGTCACCGTCCCCAAGCTTGTCTTCCTCGGAAGAGACGCCGAACGAAATATGAACGTTTCACCACCTTTGGTGAAGGTATACTTCTGTGCCCGCCTCTTGTAGATCGCATATCTATCTCATAAGTACGGATTGCCCAGTATAATCTGACAAACATCCAATAAAACTACGTCGCACGTGACCTCGTCAATATATGACTCATGAAGCGCAAATCTGACAGTGCATTGATCAACTACATTTAGTACGTTTCTCCTCCTTTTGAATCCACCCCAATGGATAGGGCTTCGGATGTTTGACCGTCTTCAGACCCAGCTTCTGAACCAAGGCTTCGGATATCAAATTCTTCTTGCTGCCTGAATCAACTATGACATCAACCAAACTGGTCTTTACTTGCAACTTAAGCACAAAGAGTTGCTCCATCGGGTCGTCATCCTCCTTCGTGACATGTTTTCCCGTCATAAGATTGAGACTGCCATTAGGCTCTGTCATCCCTGGGACTTCTTTTGGACCTTGAGCTACTACGTATGCCTTTTTCTCCTCCTCCTTCTTCAACCCCCTTGGCTTGAGATGAGGATACTTCTCCCAGCACCGATCAGCAACATGCCATGTCTTCTCGTAGTGACTACAAATCAGTTCTGCTTTCCCCGGATCACCCTTCTTCTCCTCCTTATGTTTGAAACCACTAGACTCGCCCCCTATCTGTTTGGAATCTCCCTTAGTCTCGTTGCCCTTCTTTTGCCTGCCCTCCATGGCAATGGCCTTCACGCTCGCCTCTGCAATAGTCTCGACCGTGAATAACCTCATCTCCTTCCGGATATAATCACTCAATCTCGCCATATACTTCATAAACACAGAATATTCCTCTGTTGCAATGTTAAGAATCATTGCCTGCTGCTAGAACTCTGTGGTATATTCTTGAACGGTTTGATTGACTCTTTGGCGCAAGCCGTACCACTTATACCAACGCTCCTCAAGGAATCTCACCGGGTAGAACTGCTTCCTCAGTAACTCCTTGAACTTGTTCCACGACACTGCCTTCTTCTCATGTTTACAATATGATTTCCATCACGTCAACGCGTGCCCTAAAAGCT